TTCACCAAAATTCAAATTTATTTACATTAAAAGTAGAATATCCTTGAGTTAACTAGTGAAAAAAATATATATATATATAAAAATGCTACCTTTATAAATATTTATATTTAGTATATAAATTTTATCAATTTTTAATTAAAAATATAAATTATTAATTTTATTTATTTAAAAATATTAATTTCATATTTTTATTTAAAAATTAATTAAATAATGATATTAATACCATAAACGCAAAGCTACCCTTATACCATACAATTTAAATTCAATAAATAATGATAAATATGATAAAAATTTAAAATTAAAATTTGAACTAATAACGTACTATAAGTCTATTATTTAAAATATTAAAATGTAAATTTTATATTATTTAATAATTAATTTTTTATTTTCTTAAAACTTATAATAATATATATCAATTAATTTAATAACATAATATACATTACATCATTCATAAGTCTTAAATTTTTATCCCAAATTTTCAACTCCCTATTTTTACTTTTTTTTTTATTAACTCTAAGTATCCAAAAACTATATTGAATTTTAATTAATTTGGAATCGAGTCGAGTCGAGTCGAGTTGGATTTTATATATTAAGAAGGTATCCCAATACTTATTTTTTCATTTACAAAACTCAAATTTAAAATTTTATTTAAAAATAATTGATTTTTTCACTCAAATCAATATATCTATTGTTCTATTTTTACTCAAATTTAATATCCCTTATTTCTTACAAAAACGAATTTCAGTAGTGAGTTATCTTGCTGGCGATTTATTCCCTTTTTTTCCCCCCCAAAAACAGAGCTGGCTATTTAGTAAATATAGAAATAAAACATGTTTAACTATTTAGGCAATCTTTCCGTAAAAAATCCGTCAAAAATACGACGGAATCTTCCGCTCACGTGGTCCAGTTCTATCCTTCAGATATTTTCTCATAAAAAATTGTACATAGAGCAAATCTCCACCGTACACGAAAACGGACGGCTCGTGATGCCACGGATCCGGATTCCCCGGGTGAACCTTCACAGATTATCCACTCAGAGACTGCCACGTTCGAATTCGAGATTGCTAAAGCTACAAAAAAAGAAAATTTTGTTAAAATCAAGTGGGTCTCACCCTAAGCGGCTAAAACCAATTTTGAGTCCCTCACCTTATAAAATTGGTAAGTTTTAACTCCTAACCTTATAATATGACACTTTTAATCTTTTACCTTGTAAAGTTGACAAATTTTAACCCTTCACCTTATAAAGTTATAGGTTTTAGCCTCTTAACAGTATAAATTGAAGAAAATAATCCTTATTTAATATCAAATTATAATATTTTATTAGTTCTGTTAAGTGATTGTTAGTTCTGTTAAGTGATTATTAGTATCTGTTAATATTTTATTAATGGAACTAACAAATAAAATTGAATTTAAATTTCATATTTTTTTATGACGGAATACTAACAAATGTTAATAATCAACTAACAAATGTTAATAATCAACTAACAAAACTAACAAAATGTTATAACTTGATGTTAGGTGAGGATTATTTTTTTTAATTCGTATTAATGAGGGATTAAAAATATCATAATATAAGAGAAGGAGTTAAAATTTATTATTTTGATAAGATGAAATGTTAAAATTTATCAATTTTATAAAATAAAGACTTAAAATTATCATATTATATAAGATGAGGGACTAAAACTTAATAATTTTGTAAAGTGAGAGGCTAAATGTTGGCTTTTCCCACTCCAAGGAGGGAACGTCAAAGCTGAAAAGCTTAAATACGGGAGTCTCTCCTCTGCTACCCCTTCAAAACACAACTCAGGCTATTCCTCAAATAACGTCCGGAGAAGCAGAGCCGAAGGAGGCAACAAGAAGAAGAAGAAGGCGGCGGCGGCGGCATTCTCAGGTACTTCTTTTCCGATCAAATCTTCTGATTCTTCGCTCTCGCATTTTCCTTCATTGTTTTGTGATTCATGAACTGCGATTTAGGCTAGATTCAGGTCTAGATTATCGATTTCTTGTCGGTATTTCCATCGGAGATTGAGATATCTTGTCCTTTTTAGCCCAGATTCGAGCATTTTGTGAAGAATCCGAGTTTCATTATTGAGTGAATCCAATTTCTGGTTTTCGAATCTGATATCTTGCTAGATTTTGATATAATGTGGCCGGAATTTGTTATGTTTTAAATCTCGATAGATCGGATCTGTGTCTCACTTATCTAGATCTTTTGTTTTCATTTCAAAACTTTTTTCTTTGAATTTGTTTATTAAATTTTCTAGTTTCTGCTTGAATTTGTATTTTTTTTTCCTTTTCTAGGCTATTTTCTTGATCCATACAGTGGCTGCTATTCTGCTTTTCTGCGGTTTGCTTCATGCGTTTTTATTGAAAAATGTGTTTTACCTCTGAGACTGCGCCTGAAAAGTGCAGTGTAAATACAAATTGATTAAAGTATTTTCAATAAAATTATTTTAATAAGAATATTTTACTAAATTTATAATTTAAATTACATTTTTAAGAGAAAAGAAAAAAATTTGATAACAAAAATATTAATATATTTCATCACAAGTTATAACGTAAATCTTAATTTTATTAAAGTTATCATATAATTAATATTAAATATCTAAAATTTTTAATATTAAGATTTTTTTTTCATTTTTAATATTTAGTTTGAACCATAAATTATAATATTTTGAAAAAAATTAAATATCTAAAATTTGTTGGTAAAGTTGAAGGTTCAGTCAGCGGTGAGGAGCCAGTCGCTGACATCTTCGGCTGCCGTGTTTCTCTGTCTAACACTTTTCTCTGCAGTCGTCATTGAAAATACCCATACCTTCATTATTCATGCTTTTGAAAATAAAATATTTTCACCCACCTTTAAAGGATGGTGGTAATGGTATACCAAGTTGGCAGTCTTTTTCATGTTGATGCTTCTTTGAAAAAGATATTCCTTTTTCAAGTTGATTAATGTTGAATAATACTCTCCATTAAAAAAAAAAAAAGTTGAATAATATGCCAATACACAGTAAACTTCGTGCTTGGCTGCGTGTGCTTACTCGGATGTTTTTATCGTTTAATTCATGCCTTTGAAAAATGAGTTTGAGGAGAAAATAATTACGGAAATGTGTTGTGTAGAGCTGTGCAGTCCAAATGGTTAAATTTTAAATATTAGAAGAGGGTTGGTCTTTATTTAATGATCTTTATTTAATGATTTTTATTTAATAATTTTTTATTTTATAATTTAGTATAATTTAAATGATAAAATAAATACAATTTCTAAATAATTAATTGAATGCTTCAAATTAACTAGATGTGGAAGTCGTCTTGTTTAGTTTAGACCTGAAAATTGGTAAGAACAGTGTCCTGCTGTGGTATGGGCTGCCATCCCTTGGAATGGTTTTGAGTGGCTGGACCTGAGATGGTTACGTCAAGGCGCCTAACTTCACTATTAGCATTAATGGGATTTTCCAATAAGACTGCTGTGTGCTTTCTTGCATAGTGCTTTAGTAAGCTTCTTGGAAGGTGCAGGTTAATTTTTCATGCGTCTACATCTAAGGAGTAGCCGTGTGGGGCTCACTTATATTGATTTCCGATGGGTCCTACCTTTTAATTGTTGTCAGTTTCAATAATATAATATATTATTATTATTATTATTATGTGTTTATGGCATGAAATGCATTTAGGTACAATGGTTTTTCTTGAAATTTTAAGTGTTCGAATATGATTGATTAAATAGTTCAATTCTCATTACGGCTTTAAAAAAAATCCTTTTTTTTCAAATTTTCTCATGTTTAAAAAAAAAAGCATGGAATTAAGACATAATCTTGGTCCACATGTCTTAGTGACAAAAGTTTGGTCCTATTTTCAATAGGACCTTTGCTACAGGAAATCTGTGGCTCTATGCATATAAAGCTATAGAAAGAATTAATAAATTTTGTATTTCAAGCATGAACTAGTTGTGAGAGGTTCAAAGCCTAACGGTTTAGCTTAGTTTCGCTAATTACTTTTGAATTTGTAAGAGCTGACTTGTGGTTTGATATTACGGTCCATATTTCTGAATTCAAAAATAAAAAGTAATAGTGAAATTGAGAGCTGGAGCGGTGCTGTGCCTTTTAGGTGTAAAGAGTCTATAACCTTTATCTCGCTTTCCGGATGCTGGCTGCCTTATGTTATACAAGTGGGTGGGTCACTCCCTCTTGAAATCATGGAAGCATGAATGGTAGCCGATTCGTTCTCATCCTTTTCTTCCACTTATCTTTTAGGGTGGTAACCAATGCTGCTTTATACCTCGTTTTTGTATCACATTATGTTGTTTATCTCTGGCCTGTCATTTGTTAAGGCATGATTTTCTTTATCTGTTTCTTGTCTTTGTGCGTGGGTTTGGGCACAAAGACACAAAGGCGAGAAGCATTGGCTTAACAAACTTTGATTCAGTAGCTTGTCTTAGCTGTTAGCCACAGCTTTGATTGCCTGACTGAAAAATATGATCCTGTGTATGTGCCAAAGTTTACTCACATTAGAAAAATGGATCACTCTAGATCTAGAATCTATAAGGTATAACTTCTTTTATTTTGTTCAAATCACTTTATCTGTGACAGTTGTACATATAATATTTTGCGTTTACCAAATACATTGTAGCTCCAAATTAACTAGAGCATCGTGTTGGTGACCGCCTGGTAAATCTAGGTGGGTCTTGTCCCTACCCTAGATATATTGTCGAAGGAGAATGACCTTTTTGACCTGATGTAAATAAAATTGTTTTTGAAAGCGAATGCAAAATGTTTTTCTTCTGCCTTTTTAGTGGTAACCCAACTGTTACTGGTCTGAAGATTATAATTGTTCATGAAATTAAGACAAGAAAATAAACTAAAAGGTATAGCAGCAAAAAACAGAAACTAGGATTTGAGATCTAATTAAAAGCAGCTCATTTGCATACTTTCTTTAAGTTTGTTTTTAAGCCATCCTTTTAGCTGGAAACCATGATTTACTGTGCTGATTACTTCTTCCTTTTCAGGTTGTGTTTCAATGGGTGCAGGTGGCCGAATGGTTCCCCCAACCCCAAGGAAGTCAGAATCTGACCCCCTGAAGCGAGTTCCATACTCAAAACCACCGTTTACCCTCAGTCAGCTCAAGAAAGCCATCCCACCTCACTGTTTTGAACGCTCTGTTCTTCGGTCATTCTCCTTTCTCGTTTATGACCTAATCATAGCCTTTCTCTTGTATTATGTTGCTACCAATTACATCCACTATCTTCCTTACCCTTTTTCTTATGTGGCTTGGCCAGTTTACTGGGCCTTTCAAGGCTGCATCTTAACTGGTGTCTGGGTCATTGCACATGAATGTGGCCACCATGCCTTCAGCGACTATCAGTGGCTTGATGACACTGTTGGCCTCATCTTTCACTCTTGTCTCCTTGTTCCTTACTTTTCTTGGAAGTATAGCCACCGCCGCCATCATTCTAACACAGGTTCTCTTGACAGAGATGAAGTGTTTGTCCCTAAACAGAAAACCAGTATTCGTTGGTGGGCCAAATACTTTAACAATCCACCTGGCCGCCTTCTTACACTTGTTATTACACTTACCTTCGGCTGGCCTCTCTATCTAGCATTCAATGTGTCAGGCAGACCTTATGATCGCTTTGCTTGTCACTTTGACCCTTATGGCCCTATCTACAATGATCGCGAGAGGCTGCAGATTTACATCTCCGATGCTGGTATCTTTGCTGTCAGCTATGTACTTTACCGTCTTGTATTAGCAAAGGGGCTCGCTTGGGTTGTTTGTGCATATGGAGTGCCATTGTTGGTGGTGAACGCATTTCTTGTTACGATAACATTCTTGCAGCACACTCACCCATCGTTGCCTCACTATGATTCTTCAGAGTGGGACTGGTTCAGGGGAGCTCTAGCAACCGTTGATAGAGACTATGGAATTCTGAACAAAGTCTTCCACAACATCACGGATACCCATGTAGCACATCATTTGTTCTCGACAATGCCTCATTATCATGCAATGGAGGCCACAAAGGCTATAAAGCCAATACTAGGAGAATACTATCAGTTTGACGGGACTCCAGTATACAAGGCATTATGGAGGGAAGCAAAGGAGTGTATCTACGTTGAACCAGATGAAGATGGCCAGGACAAAGGTGTCTTCTGGTATAAGAATAAGTTATGAATTGCACAATAGGAAGTTTTAAGTTATGAATTGTGGGTTGGGAAGTTTCAGATTTATTGCTTCATTTCCTGCCATGCCGAATGCTAGGCTTTAATTTGAACTTTTTATCTTAGGTGGTTCTGTTCTACTTCTTTCCATTAAGTTTATTGACCTTTAATTACATAATGCTAGAAACAAATACAACAAACAAAGTCGGAGTTCTAGTTTTGTTCTCTTCTCACTGATCGTGGATGTATCTCCTTGTTTGTTGAACTGTTAAAATAATACGCTAGCTTTGGCATCTATGTTTCCTGTTGTTGTTGTACTTTTCTTTTGGCATGCCTTGGGGCCTCAAATGCAATATGTTTTAGAAACATTGACCGGGGGCTTGGAGATCTAGACTTCTATTAGATTGGTTGGGCTGGTATGGTTTTGATGGCATTTTGTGGGACAAGGATCAATACGACCTGGACCTGGTTTCTGGATCCCAACACCAATACTCGGGGTCAATTCTTCAATAGGCCCAAAAAGAAGTTGTTTATTCGTAAGCCCTAACAGGATTTCTTTTTTTTTTTGAACATGGCCCTAACAGGATTTCTTCTAGTGATTTTGGGTATTTTTAAAGTAATTTAAAGATTAGAAAATGAAACTTTTATAAAGTTTAATAGTCTTTTAGCCCGAATTCGCCAAAAAAAGAATAAAAAAAGTGTATTAAGATGATCACAGTTTGGATGCGGATGTGAGGCCACATTTAAGGGTTATGGTTGTCAAACTACTTTTTTATTGGTTTGGACTGAAAACTTGTAATTTCTCATAATATAATTTATCAAAAATGTGTTTTTCAATATGGACAGTATTTTCTCAGACAATCTAAATACTAGAATTACCAAAATATTTTTAATAAAATTATTCTAATGTTTATTCATTAATAATGTTTTCGTAATTTTAGTATTTGGATTGTATATATATATATATATATATAATAGCACAATTCATATTGAACAACACCTTTCTCATAATTTATACTATAAAATTTTCAAGTTTTTGAGTTTTTTTTTTTTTTTCTGCAATTTGAATTGCAAAAGTAAAATCTTAGATGGGAAAGAGGCTCCAACATTTAGAGGTTTTTCTCTTATTTAAAGGTTAGTTTTATACAATTTAATATAATCTAAACTACACACAATATTTTTTATTAGTTATTAATTAGTGACTCTATAATGTGAACGGAGATTACCTCCAAAAGTAACATCACTTTTCATTTTGGTCGGCACCTCCAAAGTAACACCTTAATTATAATTCATCTCTTCAGTAGATAATATGGACACGGATTCGCTCATCTGCTACCAATGGAAGAGGAATATTACTACCCTTTCCATTTCCAAGGCGTCAATTTTTGTCCCCAATTCTCCTCACAAGCCCAACCACTAAAGATTTTTCAAGTATAACCGTTGACTCCAATTGTCAAGGTCTTTTAACCTCCCGACTTTGCAAGCCACCCCGGCCCCCTTTTTCTTCAAATGTTGTAGGAGGGAAGAGAAGGAAAACCATCTCTCAATTAATATTACACCAAAACATACTTTTCTTCTTTGTTATATGAACACGACAAGTCGAAATTTCATCGAATGCAACGGACTGCTTCTGAGTTTTCTAGAATTAATTCAGAGGAGGAGAATTCCGCGTTAAATTGAATAACTCAGGAACTCATTTATCATTTTAGTTGAAGTTTATTCTCTTGAGATGATCTAGTAACTTTAAAAGTCATATTAATATGGTCTGCCGATAATTTTTTCCTTTAATCATAATGAGTATTTGAAGAGTTTAAGAATTCAAATTAAAAATCTTAAAACTGAATCTTGAATTGGGTGGGACAGATTTGAGAATAAAAAAATACTATCGCTTTTTATATAATTTATGATCAAATGTATCAAATAATAATAATAATAATAATAATAATAATGGGCATTTTAATTTTTTTAAATTTTATTCATGGCACACTTTTATGACAAATTATGTGGTATTAGACCATTTCAAGAAAAATAAATTTTTTAGACAAAGTGATAAATTGTCAATAGTTAATAGACAATTGCATCTAGCCATTGGGTTTAGTGGCAACTGCCACGATGAAAGGTACATCCCCTTTCTCTTGGGTGGGTTCAGAAAAAAATTAGTTAATAGACAATTATTAAATTTAGCCATTCATTCATGGAACATTAAAGGAAAAAATAGCCATTCATGGCACATCAAAAGCAACCAGAAACAATATATATATATATATATATATAGTTGATTTATTATGCTGACGACAAACGCAAATAAATAGGGAAATGTGAAAACATGTCTCGTGTTTTACAAAGATTAATTAGAAAAATCCTTTAAAATTTCATGGGATGAAACATTCTACAGCAGGGGAGAAGCATGGTGTGAATGAGTGTATATTACTAATAATATTGAAGATTTATAAGTAATAACTTAGGGGGTCTTCTTTGGTTGCTGACTTGAACTGGGTTAGGTGCTGAAACTACAATGACAATGATGCCTTGAGAATCTTGAGATATCAGAAGCTTCTTTTTCTTTTCTTTTTTTTTTTTTTCTCCATTTTGAGTGAAAAAGTCTCTTCTTCTAGTAGCCACGCGATTAAACTTTTAATTACTATTTAGAAAATGAAAAATATATAGACCATTGCAAGAGAAAGATATTTTTCAATTGAGAAATGATAAATATATATTTCAGTTTAATATATTTTTTATTATTTATTCAGTCCAATTATTAAAATATAATATAAGTATAATCGATTCAGTTAGTTTCTACATGCATATAACATGATTGTATTTTTAAATTTATTTGTTTTTAATTTTAGATTAAAAAGATATTTTTTTAATAAATATATTATAATTAAATTAAAAAAATATACCAATTAATGTCCTTTTCAATTTAGATTGATGAACTGTCCTTGTTGGCCATTGGTTCACAACCCAAACTTTAAGGCTTGAGCTTGAGTAAGTCTTGGGTTTGAGCTCAGGCAACAACATTCCCT